TATCCATTTATCATGTAATGGGTTCAAACCCTGGACTCACAATCTTGATAACTGAAGCTGAGGAACCAGTCCTTGTAAACTATAAATCAAACGCAGTTACAGTCCATCCTGTGACTAAATCATATAAACAATAAAAACTGAAAAAAAAAAATTGGAGGATGAAAAAAGGACACATAATGCAAGAAAGTTGCCCACTTCTTTTAAAAGCACAGAGCTTAACAAAAATAGTGGAAAGTATTCCTTCAGAGGCACCCCTAGCTGACTTCCTTTACCACCTGAATCACTAACTTCAGCAAGAAAAAAACATAAACATGCAAGTGATTAAGCAGTGGTTTCAAACTGCACTTCATTATTACAGAGATTGATGCCACTGGTGATCTAGAACAGGGGTTCCCAACCTGGGGGCCAAGCGGTACTTTCTAGAGGGTCATGAAGCAATATCAAAATTATGATATTGAAGTAAAGTGAATTTTAACTCACCTACAGTATCTACATATAATTATCTCTCACTATCAAATTGGAATCGTGTAGTGTTTTTGTCCTATAGCTACTGACACCATTACACAATTCATATCTAGTAATAACTGAATATGAAAAGATGAAACACTAAATAGGACAATGGAGATTATTATAAATTGGTCGGAGGTCACAGAATAGGAAAGTTTGGGAACCACTGATCTAGAGCATCCCAGATGAAACTAATCCCCTTATTCTCCTGAATTATCCCATCTGCAGTTTCATTTCAAAAGGAAAGGAGCAAAAGCTTTTATGTAAACCCAGAAACTAAGGAACTTTCATCTCCAAATATAGCAAAAGCTCCTTTCAAGCAGCAAACACATGAGTTCCAGTTTCAGAATATTTGTAGCAATCTAAGAGATTATTTTGCCTTAAAAGAAAAGAAAGAAACAGCAATAAAAAAGAGCCTATTTTTGCATTAAAAACATTGGAATATCAATATTTTTCTAGGTTATTTTTTGGTGAAGTGGAAGAAAATTATTTATCTTTGGAGGAAACTCATTAACATTTGTCAACAGTAGCAACATGATTATAATTAACACATCTATGATTATCAATCCAGAATCTCGAAGGAGTTTGCAAAAAAAATTGTATATACTTAAATATATGCATGAGCTTTATTTGTAAAATGAAAGGATTTTTGGCATAATTAGAAAGCATGCTTCATTAGTGTCCATATCTTACAAGCCATTGAATATAAGTTTATAACTTCTACACAAATTAAAGACCAACCATTTCTTGATACTTTTATGATGAAACATATCTGGGAAGAGTCCAACAACAGTGAATATTTTGATAAAGAAAAATACCCCTCAAATATGCACCTTAATTTGCGACCTTACCCTAAACTTTTACTCCCGGTGGTGTCAGTGGGTTATAGAATTAATCATAGTGTTTATTTCTTTTCAACAACCAAAAGGCAATGTGTATCAAAGTCTCCATTCAGTTTTAATTCTGAATGAGGATCATCATAACATTTTGCCAAAGATTTCCTCCCCGTGTTTACTTTGTGTGAGCAGATCTCTCATCTGAAGAATCTGCATATGGCTTCATTGTAGAACTTCTTACCGGCTTCCTGAAATATAAATGATTTCAGTGTTTCTGCATACTGGAGGAAGAACTAGATGAATTGTGATAACTGATCATTTTTTGTTTGCTGAACACAGAGCATTTATAAGCATGTTCAAAATTACCAAGGATAAAAACTGATGAAAATGAAATGAAATAAAAAAAATGGAAATATATATATATACACATCAGTGCTTATTCATTCATTAATATATAACAATGTTATAAAAAGCTACAGCTAAAAGTATCAAATCTGAGACCAAAAATATTTATATATCACTCTGTGCAGTTGAATCTCATAGCATACATTGTAGTCATTTCATTCTGGTATTAATAACAAACAATAACAATAATAACAATACCAATATTATTCATAAAAATAATGACAAAATAACAATAATAATTATAAGGGATTTCTAAGAAAACTTTTTTGTCATTACACTTATGTGATTAAGCCAGGCTAGTCTCAGGGAACATCTCCAATTCTAATAATCTTTGATGACATTATCTATTTGGCTTACTGGGAAGAAAATAATTTTGTTAAAATTCTTATCATGTTTCAATTATTTTCCCTAGACAGTTTTAGCTTATGCATCATTGTATAATAAGGGATCTTCATTTGGTTAAAAGAAGGCAACAGGTTAAGGTCACAAGTTGATGTATTAGTATTTACAAAACTTAAAAAAAGAAGCCATACTACCTGTTCATTATTTTGCATGGTGGCTGCAGCAGCACACTCAGTGTTGTATACTGTCCTGGTTGGTCACACACACACAAACCATTACATTACCCCCTAGAGTGGCTCGTCAAGGAGGTGCTGATACTCTTCTGACTATCTGTCATTATACTGAAGGGTTATTCTGGCAACAGAGTATCATCTTTTATAAAACATATCAACTGACTACTGATTTACCATCAAGAGACTATCTGCTTGCAAAACAAAGAATTCTGAAGTCTTTGAAGTCTGACATCCTCTATGATGAATACAGACACTAATCCATTCCTGGATATTTATTTTCTATAAAAAATGGAGAAATCAAATTGGTTATCTATTAATTATCCAAAATCAATGATGATTATGTGTAGTATAAAATATATCAGTATATCAAAATATACAGAATAACTGGAAAAAAAAGATTGCATGCCAAACATTCTCGATAATTGACTTCCACAACAAGCCGGGCCTTAATACGAATGATCTGTGTATCTATCATTTTGGCTCTTTATTTTCCTGAAAAATATAAAATCTTGTTACTTGTTAACTTACTAACCCCATTCAGTTACTGATTGCATAAGCTCACCTGAAATATTGGGCTTGTAGATGATTTTCTAAGCATGTTCATAGTATAATATATCTGGCAATAGGAATGAATAAAAATAAGTCATATGCAGCCATGTGTAATGAGAGATGTTGAAAGGTTATGAAGACAATAAAGAACTCTCATCAGATTCCTTCAAGAAAATTAAAGGCTAAGAGTATGTAATAAGAAATTATATATTAGGAATCAATGAGATGTCCTGGGATTTTTTAACTGCTATCTAAAAGACAAATAAATGAAAATAAAATGGAAATAAAGACTTAAACCAAGTAATTACATCATAACATGTTACTAAGGGATATTTGTGATCAGTTTTTATAATCAAAAATATTCAAGTAATCCGAACTAAAATAAAAGTGTCAGAACAAAAAATATTTTCTTTCACCTGATTAGAGCCAGTGGATAGGGTTGACACACCACTTTCAACTTTTGTTCCTAATGAAGCAGTATTTCTTTTAAACTAAACATTTTTGATTCAGGCACAAAGAAAATCCCTAGATAGAAAAGACATAAAGTATATGTATTTTATTGTTACTGATCAATATGTCATATAAAATAGTGTAGTGATTGTTGTGTAGCTAGGATTTTGGACAAGTTGGGTCATCATTAATTAAGAAAAGGACCGCATTTAAGTATGCATGGACTCTATGCTTTGTGCTCTAACACGTACATTTTGATAAGACAAAGCTTGGAAAACCTTCATACTTGAGAATATTCTGACTTGAAGCCCTCCATTTTCAGGTTTGCTGACAATTACTGAAGCATGAAGCCCTGCAGTAATGGCCCTGTTTAAGGATTAACTAGAAATTTTAGGTTAACCTTCCTTTTGTGCAGATATACTTTTTTTCCAACTGGAGATGGTATATGACTTCCTAATGTCAAACTGATGCTTTTCTTTTTCTCCACGTAGTCAATGTCTGGATAATTCCTACAAATTCCTTAAAATTTGGTGTTACAGTGATCCTTTGCCACATATAGTTTCATAACAATTGCAAAGTAAGCTTGTTGCTTCACATCTATCATGAATTAAAAATGAAACATAGACCACTTTCAGAACTTTTAATGAGAAGATACTTATCACAAAAATACAAGAAAATGTTGTTTAATATAAAAATCTCAGCAACTGGCTCAAGTTATGAATATTCGAGTATATAGGATGTTCTAGCTCCTTTATTACCTTCATTCAGTTCTGGCTGCTATTAATGGGAATGTATAAACTATAAACCCTTGATCTACTAAGAGTAAAATATCTATTACACTGAATTCACCCGACAAACATAAATTTTCACATTAAAAAGAAAAAGAAGAAAAGAGATATACAGTACTGTTCATTTGCTCTCTTAGAATACACAGTGATCTTTAATTTGTTTGTAAAGAAAGAAGTAAAAGGAAACCATTCGCTCAAGATCATCCGAGAAAGTGCACACCATCTGTCCGCTTCTGGATAGTTAATAAAAAAGTTGGAAAAGAAATCAGGGTCGGACCAGCTGAAGCTCACTCGAACAACTTCCAAGATTAATTCAACTTGCTATGAATGTTAACTGCAAGATGGTTTCAGGTCATGAAAGATGATGCATGTTGTCCCCTTAAATTACATCAAAAGTCTACTATTGTCCTTGAGAGTTCTTGTTATATTCTTTCTCTTATTTCCAGCAAAGGCATTGTTACCTTTTCTGCCAGTATTGCTTTTTAATCAAACATTTATATACAAAAACGATGCAATAGCACATCTCCATCTGCATAATATTTTGAGTATTGCAGACCTGCCTTTATTTAAACTCATTTGTAAGTAGAATCCCGTATGATCTACTGTTCCTATTCCGCCTCAGCTCCTCTAACAGTACAGACTGCTTATCACTTTTGGCTTTAACGCGAGATAAGTTATCTCACCTGCTCCGCCATCAACGTTGCACCGCGACTGAATGTAAACAAACTCGTCCTCTCAATACGAGCGTAGATATCTTAGGGTGATATTATGAAGGCAGTAAAAATAATAAACTGTTGGCATGGATAGCTTTATAAGAATAAAGATTATTATTTTACTATGTCCTTTAGATTATTCATGTATGGATTTATCTTTTTTTATGAAATATAGAG